CTTTCCAGAAGCGGGAAATGCAACCTTGGACGCCGCCGGGAATCCCACAACGTTACCGCTGCTTACCTTTATCCGTGAAAACTGTCTCGGGCGGTGTGTCGAGAGTCTCACCCTGGTCGTAAGCGATCGGATGTACGGACAATATCGTCTTGCGGAAGCCGGAAATGCTGCTCATAGTGGGGCAAGCTCGTCGCGGGACGCCGACCTGCATCTCGACGACGACATGAGATCGCTGCTTACGGATGCGAGGGCAAGGTCCGGTTGGACCTCACGCTGGAGGCAGCACTCGGCTCGCAGCGAGGACTCAAACTGGTTGTGGGAGCTCCTGTTTCGGGCGATGGATCCCAAGAGGTTCACCATCATTGCTTTGCCGCGAATGCTTGCAAGTCTGCTCTCTCGAATGTTGTTCCTCGGCGACGCCTGGAGCTTCAGGGACCAGTGCCATATACTGTCGCTGGACAGACGCACGCCTGAATCACTAGAAAAGTGGAAGCCAGCCAAGCCTCAACCGGACTCGGACGCTGAACGAGCCGACGGCCAGGACGAGGCATCAGCCGGTCCATCAGAGCAGTGGGGCGATCCCACCAAACCTATCAAGACAGTCCTCTTCACCATTCGACCGTGGACATCAATTCTACTCAACGAAGGGTCGTCAACTCGGGTCTACAAGACTTATGAGTTCTTCCTCAAACGCCCACCCTCGATATTGGGCTCACTCCTGGGCTGCGAAGAGGCTCCGAATGACGAGCCGCTCATCCCGCCATCAGTCCGCTCCCTGTCATACGTCGCAATATTTCCTCTGTCGTCACACTTCAACAGTCTGGTAAATCACCTACCGCAGCTGGATAACCTCTATCTACAGCTGGTGCCGAGAAACGATATCCTGGACAACAAGGACGAGATGCGCAATATCCAGGTCAGCGACCTGTGGATGGAACGCAACACATGCTACAGCTTGGTCATGAGGGCGCTCTTCGGTGCCGAGATGGGTGTCGGATGGGACGACGAAGAATTGGATTCAGAAAACGGATGGAGCAGCCTCAAGGTTTTCGAGAGCGGCGATGCTGCTGACAAAGAAGCTTGGGACATGGCCGTGGAGTATGTCCGAATGAGCACGACGCCTTGGACAGTCGCCGCAGATGGTGTACTCGTGAAGGGTGGCCCAACATGTGATACCGAAAGTGCGCATTCGGGATCGGAGTCTCCTGCTGGCAGCTCGGATACCCACGTCAGCCCTGAAGACGACCCACCCACAGGGTTCGAGCTGTTGTCAGTATCTCCCCTTCCATAATCGCAGCACGATTTTGACGTTTAGAGAATCATCTGACACGATACCAAGCAAGGGACAACTAGAGGTACTAGCGTTCAACGGGAGCGCTGAACTGCCATATTCGGCGGCCGGTCATTACCTCACTTCAGCCGATGAAATATTCCACTTATGACAGGTATATGCCATTGGACGATGAGGAAAATCTACCCTTCCGAGTATCCGTGTGTGCTGTGTTTTAGTCCCTGGCCACCGGTTACATGTCCAACCTCAGGGCTAAACTTAACTTATGCAAGCATCTTGTCCTGACACTATCCGGCATTGGTCTCTGACTATGTCACCATCGCAGTGACACGGGAAGCAATCGCCGCATTGGGATGGTTCCTATGCACTCGATGGTATGCAGTGCCCAGCACTAGTCGTCAACCTGAACTTTTCACCTAAGGGTGGTTTATCCTTCTTGTCAAGACCACGAGCGAGAATGTACACCAGTCAACAGAGGGCAACCTCTGTGAAGTCTACCTAGTCGGTACTGAGCAGCAGAATCCAGAGAAGGCAACCAGGGAGGATGTTGTGGTAAACTTGTCACCCGCGAAGTCTCTTAAAGCAATGTTTAAGGGCTCGTCGATACCTGGGCCAGAGACACGTTATTCATTAGAATGGGCTTTCCAAGCTCGGCTAGGGATGATTTCGATAGTGCTGCCGACGACAACGATGGCCTCGTCGAACACCACGAGGGCAAATAGATGACGAGAACATGATATCGTCGTGGTGCTGAACGAGGAATAGGATATAGCGACATGCGAAAACATCCTTAGCAGGCTAGCATCAGTAGTATCAACGTCACTTTTTACAAAGATGAATGGGATGTTATCGGACCAGATCTGCGCATACGTCGAGCGCGAGTTGAGTATCTAGCGTGGGTCCGCATGAAGTTGAAGTGCCAGACCATCAAGTCTTCTCGTCATGGCAGTATGGTTACCAAGAGTGGTGTCTTCGGTACATCCTGACTGTTCAGAGCCAAGGCTATTGTTTCGCACGGCGTGCCAAGTCCGGGATGGGAAGCCGCCTTTCATATAGCCAACATTGACACACAGAAACCGTAAACATTGGGGTCCTTATTTCTGCCCCCAAAGTAGGTATGAAAGCAGCCGGGAGTCGGAGACAGAGAATGTCGCTCAGAGCCACAACAAAGATATGTGAAAGGTAATGGCTCTATCGCACTGTGTAACGTACGTCTTGGAAGAACCTCGTCACTCGTACATAGCTCTTAATCGCATAGATACGCCGCCCTATCTGGACGACCTTCTCCGTTGCGGTGCCATCTGGCACCTTTAGCGTTTTTCATGGGTTCCTGTTTACACATATTGAAAAACGTCCCACAGGATCATGCACAAGTGATGATAGTATGGATGGGTTGTGCTGGTATTGTTCCCTTAGATGTCCTGAGGTATGCGTAGCCGTTGGATAATCGTCCCATTTCGATGTAGGTCATACACGTACCACCAAATCCTGTTTCTAGATGCCCAGATGCCTCTATGTATGATATGATATCCTCTTGAACTCCGCCCGCCCGAGAACCTTCCTGATAAAACAATCCACTGCGCGCAGGCAGACCAATGTGTAGATCCGGCCGCATCCAGCCTGATATATGATACAATGCGTTGTGCATTCGCTTCCACTTCCAGCTTACTAATCGGCCTTTGCCTTTCTCTCGATTCCTTCCCTGACCACACGCCCATCGATCTGTCCAAAGGTCGCTCAGGACGTCAGTCAATATCTTTATCGCTTTCGTCATCATCCGGCGATATATCCACCTCCCTCTTCCTACTCTCCTCGGCCATCTCGCGCCAGGTACTCCAACTCAGCATTGCGAAAGCGGCAATGATCAAGCAACCGCCCACGACAGCCGCTGCACTTAGCGGCTGCCCCGTCCATATCCAGTCCACAATGGCAACGAGGAAAATGGTCAGCAGCGCTGCGACACTACTAAGCACGGGACTGGTCAAGCTGATCAGGACGAGGAAGCAGCCAGCAAACGTAGCGTTCATGACCACACTCAGAAAGAGCAACCATGCTGTGTAGCCTGTTGGCAGCTCGAACGTCTCCCATCCGAGCAGATGGAGAATTGGAAGCGGAATCCATAACACCAGCAGAGTGAACGCGCCGACAAGGCTGCCAAACGCATTTGCGAATATCATGCCACGTCCCGCCGAAGTACCCTCCGGCGGGCAGGCAAAGCGCTTGTACAGCACTTCGTATAGACCGTATAGCACTGACCCTACGCCTATGATCACGTTGCCGAGGAAGCGCGTTCCGCTATCGAGCTCCTGCCGCACCGACGGTCCATCGGAGCCCGGCGTCTGAGGAGGCGGCGGCGCCTTCGAACCACCGTCACCGTACGCAACGATCAGGACTCCCGCTATCGCAACCGCGACCGCGACACTCTTATCCAGCCGTAGCTTCTCCTTCAAGAGCGGCACGCTGAAGGCGTACGCAAAGAACGCAGAGCAGTTGTATATCGCCGTGAGATCGCTCGGGGTCGTCTTATTCACAGCCACATACCAGCTCAGCCCCGCAACCGTGAGCGCCATCGTGACACCAGCCGTGGTCCGAATCATGTACGGCCACGGACTCCCCCTCCCGCGCGGCGGGTCGAGCGTCTGGCCCTCGACCATCTGCGCCGTCGTCCGCAGCAACCACACGTGTCTCCGCCAGAATGTGTGCCACGGCATGTCGCGCTTCTGCAACCGCAACACGCCCAGCTGCACGGGCCAGAGCAGGACCCAGCTGCCGTGCGTGAGGTACAGCATGCAGTAGGCCTTGTCCCAGCCGAGGTCGTGCTGGACGTATGCCGCCAGCTCGGTCTGCACTGTGAAAGCGACAAGGCTGACGGCCAGGAAGATGGCAGCGTAGGTGTACTTCTTGCGGGCGGCGAGCCGCGCTGTGTTTGTTGCTGGCGAGCGGCTACGCATCGTGCTGCGGCGGGAGAAGGTCGGTCGGTTGGCTACGGTTGCGACTTGCGCTGTGGAGGACGGTAGGGGACTGCGTGGCCTATAGCCTAGTCGACCGCGTTCTTCGTCATCCGTAGCGGCATGGTCGGCAAGCAGTGGCGTGCCTGATCGGTGGTCGGACGTGCGGAACATGGCTTTAGCTAGACGGGGGTAGTCGGCGGGAGCGAGGAATCACGGTCGGGGAGATGTCCGGGCCGGTTGGCATCTGGACGATAGTACTGGTATAAATCGAGAAATGACAAGATTGAATGCTGAAGGAGGTATGGCCACGGCGAAGGAGACGTAACGGAAAGACACCTGAAAAAAGGGAGAGAAATGATCAAAGATAGCTTCGTAATAGTGGCGGAACCATCTCTATCCGTCCACTCGGCGGCGCAGTGTTATGACTCTCTGCAGATGACGACGCGAGCGAGGACTGCAACACGCATGTAGCTGGATGCAACCAGTCTGTAATTGAAGGTCGTTAGATGGATGACCTGGATCACAAGCCAGCGCGATATTCAGGGTCCAGGGCTTGGCGTCGTGTCCTTCGGATCCACCTCCGGATTATCTTACGCGGCCAAAATCACGTTGAGTTGGTCAAACCAGTGATCTGGTTTCCTTAGACTGGGTTGGATATCTATATCAGATCGAAATATCCCTTAAGTCTTTTGCCAAAATATATCAAAGGCTATCCGAACAGATTGGATCTAAATGGCCCAGGGAGCAAAATGAGAACTCGACAACGACAGGATTCGAACCTGTGCGGCCGAAGCCATATGATTTCTAGTCATACCCATTAACCACTCTGGCACGTTGCCGGATTTGTCATAAGTTACGTAACTTGTTCTACGGATTATATAGGAGCAACATCGGACGGGACTCCAATTTTGTGGCACATTGCTTTGCTCCCTCCCATCACTATACCCCGGACGAACACGGGTTTCAAGCCTAACTTAAGGTACGATTCTATTCTCAATCGATGTCTGCGCATGGCTTGTTGTGTCCGTCTGCTCAACACTAGACAACTGCGCAGATGTAGCTGTACTATCATCTGCAACTTGACCCATCTCATGCTCTTCTACATCAGTCACCCGCTGTCTCTTCGGGCAGGATTCATCATTGTCTGCAGGAATGAGATCAGTAACTGAAATTTTACGAAGGATTGGCAGCGCTTACCTTTCTTGTGCGCGTTGATCGCTTGATGTGCATCCTCCTCGGATCCCAGGAATATGCGATAGACAACATGGATGAGCTGGCCGGCTGCAAGCATAAATGGCACAAGCTGACCGACTGAATCCAGACGGTCTAAACCCCGTACCTCATTCCAGTGGATGAGCAATTCCATCGGCGTGACTGTGAATGCGAGCGCAAGGGCAGCAATGAATAGTAACCCTACAAACTTGAGGGTTCGATATAATCGAGGGTATTCCTCAGCAAATTCCGTAAACAGACTGGGCTTCTTGTCGGGCTGCGGTCGTTGCGCTTGACGGTGTCTTCCAGCATGCTCCTCAGTCTGCTGCCCCATGCGAAGACGCCGCCGAGCATTCCGTATATTGGATATGGCGATGGCAGCAGCTATGTGGTTGGTCAGTATAGTCGTGAGACCTTGCTAATAAATAAAGGTTCTTACACAACCCGAGCATGGCCGCCCCGACTAAACCGATAATGGTCACGATGACAAGTGCAAAGGTCCAGCCGACTTTGCTCACTGTTCTATACCACCCACGGACGTTGACCTTGCTCCAGAAGAAACCGTACTCGTCACAGGGACCTTGCGGGAAAGAGTCGATCCCGACATACCAAAACCACACGGAGTATGATATGTACGCCGGAAATATCAGGAATGCAAGTACCATGCGCAGTGCGCCAGTCACTGTCAGGTTGCGTGTCAACGTGCTGCTGACTCCAATGACCTGGTATACGATCAGCCAACCGACGAGGGCCACCTCGGGGGCGTGCAGTGTCCTTGCCACGCTCTCTCGTACGAGCGCGATGAAGATGGCGAGCAGGAAGACAAACGCGGAGCCCTGCAGGTATGCGGACTCTTTTGGAAGGAAACCACCGGCCAAGATGAAGGACACGATCTGCATATAGATGCCGACCCGGACCCCCAGGCCGAAGAGGTCTGGATTGCCGTCGAACCCGCAGATACTGCCCTGCTCGGATCCGTTCATCGCTGGGGAATTGCCAGAAACATCACCCTGGCAGAAGTTGAGCAGATTCCAGCGAGTTATAACAGAACTAAATAGCTTCGATTTTTCGCTCGTCCCTCCTTTCTCGAAATCAACCTAATATGGCTGTGAAGTCTTGGCATGCTAAAACTATCGCATTTTGGCCTCAGCTGCTCTGCAAGTGACCAATAGCATAGGCGGAAGAGCCAACCCATGGTCAATACTGCAACATTATCTCGATGGCTTTAACTGTTTAGGGTATCTGTCTGTGCGACGGGCAGACTCGACCCTCACAACACGCGAGAAGGCGAAGTTCAAATAGCAGCAGCAGGCATGTCTCTGCAAAAATATCCTCGAAACCCCGAAATACTGAATACCTTCTCTTCATCAGAGCATAATGGATGCTGCTAGTTGCGAAGTAGAAGGCAACAGCGACCTCTACGGCCGCGGTATCCGCCTGGGCTTCTACATCCAGTGGGTATCGACGCTCCTTATCACTCTGTTCAAGCACGAAGACGAATCCCTCTATCGCGTTGTCAACCTCGTCCTTCAACTCGCTGTGTTTGCGAGCCTTCTATTTCTGACTGTGGAAAACGCCATCTACGCCTTCGAGGTCATGATAGCGTTCTGGCTCCTCTTCGGGGCTCTCTCTAGCCTTACCGGCGATGGTATCAGTCCCCTGGGTACACTCTCCGGCTTCGCGCGCATCGTCATGTATGCCGCTCTTTCCGGCTATGGAGTCTGGTTCTGGTTCCTTGGCGGAGTGGACTCGTTGCCTGCGACTCCATGTGACCCTGTCGTCTTCTTTGGCGGAGTCTCTCCTCATGGTGGATTCCAGATCTTTGGGAAGATTGTCACAGTCGTAGGGTCGTTTGTCTGCGGATCGCTTCTGCTTTGGATCGCTGGCCTATTTCTGAGGAGGATTCATCGTTCCATATCTGGACAACCGGCGAAGAACAACCTCACAGCTAGAGAGAAACGGCAACCCATGTCATCGCACCGACCCAAGACTGAAGTCTCGCTTCTGGTACTCTCGGTCTTCGTCATCATATTTTCTATTGTCTCTGTCGAGAAACTCATCCAGGATAACAGAGTTGTTGGTGTGGATGCCGCCTTCCAGGCGGGACAGCTGATTCCTCTGCTCGTAGGAGTGATTGGATTGTTCAACACTCTACTGTCTATCCTCGTCAGAAAGTCCGTGTTTAAACCACGATGTTGGGTCCTGTTCGGATACCATCTTACCTGACGATACCGGGGGTGATGATGCCATGCCTTGAGATGGAATAGCGACAAACTACAGGTTTTGGCTAAGAAACCCCAAGAGGTCGTCGTGCCGCTACTTCCGGATTGTTCGTGTTCCAAGTGGTTGTTCTTGTCAAGATATCCTTGTTCCGGTCAATAGCTCGTGTGTAGCCGTGTTGTCAGTCGGCACAAGAATGACGCCTCAAAAGCTGAAATCCAGTGTCAGCATGTGGAGGTGGTGCAAGATGACGCGATAGCTATCGCGTTGAGGTGTGTCCCCGGACACTCTCGCAGAAACGCGATAATCGACAGAAAACGGACAACGCCCGAGATCCGATGGGCCAATCACCTCGACATCAATTAATTGATCCTGCGTTGCATGAGATATGTGGTTGTCTGATCCTCACTGGTTAACACTTCAACATGACAACGGTTCTCTCGGTCAGCATGCGTGCATGCTATCTCCGCTGCCAGGAATCATCTACTTGAAAGTCACTTGGCGTCGATAAGCCTGCGCCAAAACCACATCTGCTATGTCTCGTCGCTTTTTCGCACGATCTGTTGACGTGAAGTGCGGAGGTTCGCACACCATCCGTTAGGGGCATGGAGCTTTTGATCGCGGCCATAGTAGACTGGGAAACTCTTCGGGGGGCCGAGCGAGACTCATCAAGTATAAGTATACGCAAGACCTCTCCGAATGTCAAGTCATGAGGTCCAAGGGTCACCATCTGTCATCGCCAAGTTGAACAAATCTGCAACCAGAACATCAACCACACCTCTACTCAGAAGCCCAGCTAACTCACGACAACATGGCGCCTCCAGCAGCAGATGTTGACCTCCAGACGCAATCTCCTGTCTTTTCGGTCCCCTCAAAGGGAACCCAGAGCTCTACTACCGCCTCACGCCTGTCCGGGCCCCTGACTTACTCAGGATCGCTGGACTCGTACGACCACTTCGACGTTACAAATGTCATCGGCCGCGAGTTCCCCAACCTGCAGCTCAGCGACATCCTCCATGACGAGACAAAGATCCGCGACTTAGCCATCTTAGGTATGTAACAACAGCTTCTGTCACACTGCCAAGGCACCAACACTGACGTTTTAAACAGTCTCACAGCGCGGAGTCGTGTTTTTCCGCAACCAGGACCTGAACATTGACGACCAGAAGCTGTTGGGGCAGCGCCTAGGCGAGCTCACCGGCAAGCCCGAGTCCTCCAAGCTGCACCGCCACGCCCTCTCCAACAGCAAGCGAGGCATCGCCGTCGACGAGAACGGCAAGCTCGACGACGAGGTCTCGGTCATCTCGTCCGAGCAGAACCGCAAGTTCTACGAGGACCGGTTCTCGCACAGGTCCAAGCGCCTGGCCAGCGAGGGGTGGCATGCCGACATCACCTTCGAGCGCATCCCGTCCGACTACGCCATCCTCAAGATCGTCCAGCCTCCCCAGGACGCCGGCGGAGACACCCTCTGGGCGTCCGGCTACGAGGCCTACGACCGGCTATCCCCGACCTTCCAGAAGGTGGCCGAGAGCCTTACGGCGACGCACTACCAGCCCAACTTCGTCAAGGTCAAGGAAGCCTTCGGCGAGGACCTGATCGACGACTACCGCGGCTCGCCGGAGAACACCGGTCTGGACTTCAAGGCCGAGCACCCCGTCATCCGCACCAACCCGGTCACCGGGTGGAAGTCCCTGTTCGGCGCGGCGCACCAGGTCGCCGCGGGCTGGTACAACGGCGTCACCGAGCGCGAGAGCGACATCCTCAAGGCCTACTTCAAGCAGATCATTGCCGAGAACCACGACCTGCAGGTCCGGTTCCGCTGGAACAAGAACGACCTGGCAATCTGGGACAACCGCTCCGTGTTCCACACGGCCACCAACGACTATGCTGGCAAGCGCCAGGGCAACCGCGTCGTCTCGTTGGGCGAGAAGCCGTTCTTTGACCCGCAGTCCAAGTCCAGGCGTGAGGCACTGGGTCAGTAATGATGTTTTTATCAATTATCAGGTAATTATTGTCAGCTCGTGGAACTCCCGCAGCACAGGGTTCGCACATTACGATGAGAGGCATGTCAAATAGCTGAAGGAATCAACGAGATCATGAATTGAATGCATTCATTTTTGAGCTTTGCTCACAGAGCGCACTTTATTTTGACCCCTTTCCGAACAACGCCTCGCGAGTATCATACCCATACTTCAGATCCAAATGCCAATAATTGACCGTCTCCGCCTTGGCAATCTGCCACGCCTCATCAATAGCCTTGACCACCTCCTCCGGCAAAGGGCCCTTCTCCAGATGAGTCAAATTTTCCTCCAGCTGCGCCGCGCTCGACACGCCAATAATGATGCCGTCATTCCCATCCTTGATCTTCAGCGCGGAGTGGTGGACCGTCCACCTCAGCGCGGTCTCG